TCTTGGTGTTCAAGTTTGTTGTAATGGCCGCTGATGGAAAAGGCTGAACAAGAAATAGAGTGATCAAGAAATAGCCTAAGTAACTGGAATCCAATGCAGGGAAGCATAAGCAACATGAATAACAGGCATAGTACTTAACAGCTTGTCTATTTTAAGCCTATTAATCCAGATATTGTCTCATCAAGTTTGGATGACAGTGCACTTGGAATTAAATTACGAGTAGATATCTGTAAGAGCCCGCCTTTTTCTGAACCCATTCATCCCAGTTGTATGAAACAAAGTTCGGTCAATATGAACAATGTGGATGATGAAAAAAAAAAGTATAGTGCTAAAAACACAGGAGCATAAAATCACTAGTACATTCTGGATAGAGGGCTGGGTTTCGGGTGAATCTCGATGACTTTCCCCTGCTGGGCTGGAAGATGTTATGCTACAGGAGGTGGATGCTGCTTGAGCTGAATCATTTGCCTTCACACTGTGCTGTCGTTTCTTCCTTTGTCTAAAAGCAGATTCTGAGTCATAAACAGTAAAAAATGTGAAATTCGTTTTCACCTGTTGTCACTTTGTACAGTCCAGCCAAACTCAGTTAAGCTACAATAAATCTGTAAAAGACATAACAGTAGAGCCAGCCTACGCGAATAGTCGATAACATTGGAGTACATAAATGTCGTTTCATTTCTCACAATTTTTCCTTTGTACTTCTCCATTTTTCAGGTTTCGCTAAACCGAGGAAAAGAAGGTTTTTAGGAGTTTTTTTTTCGTATAACCAAAAAAAAAACCCTTGCATTGTTGCAAAGCATTCTAGCCGACGAGATCAGTTATAGATGCTGTCTAAGGTGCACAAGGCATAGTCAAGAATCATAATGAGTAGGTAAATCTGAAATGCTGCAACTCTTTCCGTAAAAACTAAGCCCAAAGCCGCACAGGCCAATGGGAACAAGAAAATCGAATAAGTTGAGCAAACTTCTTCAAGTACGCATGCTAAATATATCAACGAGGAATTCCAAATAATCGCTGTAATGTCAAAATCATACAATCAAAATTTCAACTTGTTGGAGTCACTACCACCAAAAATAAAGTGTAATTGAAGGGGGGGGGGGGCGAGAGCATAGACCATACGAGGAGGAGAGACGCCGCATTTGAAGCATTGGAAGAGTCGATCTACGTCATCCTCCATTGATAGACCACACCAGTTCTCGATCCTCCCCTCCGCCCTTGACTCTCATTAACGTCTGCGAGTATCAGCGCCAGTCGTCGACTTGCTACTCTGATTCCGGAATTGGCGGGAGGAGTGCATTTTCAAACTTCGACCGCAGATGCTCACGGCGAAGCGAGTGGAACTGGATGTCGGGGTAGGATTTGTCATAATTGGTGCAGTGGGCTTCCATGTTCACTACGGGACTTGGTTGGGCTGTGGAACACAAAGAACTTGGGCCCGCGCTTGTCTGGGATGAGCCCAATAGTGACGATCATTACTCATTAGCGGCTTAAGTATCACATTATTAGTGTATTTCCGCATTTGCGAGTGAAGGCTGTGATGGTTTTCTTGCGCAACGGATCTTCTGTCCCACACCCTGTGCCACTCTCTGTCTCACTTTTTATTATATTGCTATTTTTTCTTCATAAATATCATGTTTTAGTTCTTTTTTGTTTCCTTAAGATCCAATAACTATTAATTCAGTAATACACAAAATTTAACAAACTCAAAAAATCAAAATGCATAAAAAATGAGATTTTTTAATAAATTTTCTGTTATATTTTTTAATTTTCTATTATATATTACTTTTTTGAAGTTGTTGTATTTATTTTTTACTGAATTAATAGTTATTGGATCTTAAGGAAACAAAAAAGAACTAAAACATGATGTTTATGTAGGAGAAATAGCAATATAATAAAAAGTGAGACAGAGAGTGGCACAGGATGTGAGACAGAAGATCCGTTGCGTCTTGCGCAACGGATCTTCTGTCCCACACCCTGTGCCACTCTCTGTCTCACTTTTTATTATATTGCTATTTTTTCTTCATAAATATCATGTTTTAGTTCTTTTTTGTTTCCTTAAGATCCAATAACTATTAATTCAGTAATACACAAAATTTAACAAACTCAAAAATCAAAATGCATAAAAAATGAGATTTTTTAATAAATTTTCTGTTATATTTTTTAATTTTCTATTATATATTACTTTTTTGAAGTTGTTGTATTTATTTTTTACTGAATTAATAGTTATTGGATCTTAAGGAAACAAAAAAGAACTAAAACATGATGTTTATGTAGGAGAAATAGCAATATAATAAAAAGTGAGACAGAGAGTGGCACAGGATGTGAGACAGAAGATCCGTTGCGTCTTGCGCAACGGATCTTCTGTCCCACACCCTGTGCCACTCTCTGTCTCACTTTTTATTATATTGCTATTTTTTCTTCATAAATATCATGTTTTAGTTCTTTTTTGTTTCCTTAAGATCCAATAACTATTAATTCAGTAATACACAAAATTTAACAAACTCAAAAAATCAAAATGCATAAAAAATGAGATTTTTTAATAAATTTTCTGTTATATTTTTTAATTTTCTATTATATATTACTTTTTTGAAGTTGTTGTATTTATTTTTTACTGAATTAATAGTTATTGGATCTTAAGGAAACAAAAAAGAACTAAAACATGATGTTTATGTAGGAGAAATAGCAATATAATAAAAAGTGAGACAGAGAGTGGCACAGGATGTGAGACAGAAGATCCGTTGCGGTTTTCTTGGTAGTTTATGTAGGAAAAAAATTAAAACATGATATTTATGTAGGAGAAATAACAATATAATAAAGAGTGGGACAGAGAGTGAGAGTGGCACAGGGTATGGGACAGAAGATCCGTTGCGGGCTAACAGACTCCCACGACTTGATAATTCCACTCAAAATGACGGTTTCGGTTTTTGTTAGGGGCGGGAGAGAATAATTCACTAAGGGCTTGTTTGATAACTCTACCTAATGGTGAAGATTCATTCATTCAGAGCATTTTGAATTTAGGAATGCCTTACCACCTAATGTATTAAACACTATTTAATTTGTGTACAAACTTTCAAGTGAAAACTTTTTGGATTAATTATACATACTATAATTCTCACATACTCTTATACATCCTCTCGCACAAAGTACATTTGTTTTGGTATACATATGCAAGCAAATGTACGTTGTCACAGGCAGATGTGCACATTTAAACACCGCGTCTAAATTGTTTTATTTATTTCCTATCTCTAACACACACACACTTATTTCTCTCTAAATACATAAATAAAGACAATTTTTTACAGATAAAAGCATAATATTTGTGTGATATTTCAATTTAGTATTATGATGCAGCTAGTCATCAAACAAGCTTAAATTATTCAATTTAGTAATTTAATATTTTCAGCACTTAATTTCAAATTTCAGAATTCAGATTTCGAAATTCATTATTATCAAACTAGCCCTAAAACAACAAAAAGGGGACGTGGTCACTCAACCAAAAAAAATAATAATAAACTTATTCGATAAAATTGTAGTCTGAAATTGAAATTAAAAATTAAGTGCTGAAAGTATTGAATAACTAGATTAGTTGGGTGTCCAACTTTCAGGACTAAGGTGTGTCACTGCAAGTTCCTGTTTTAATTTTTGGTCTATCTAACGGGTGCTCTATGGATACTCATTTAAATATATTTTCAGATGTCATATTTTTTAAAATGTAAAATTAATTAAAAAAAGTAAATAAATACAAAAGAGGATGGGTAAGATAAAATAGGTAAAGTATATTGATACAAGGGAGAGTAATAATTGTTAATATATATATATATATATATATATATATATATATATATATATATATATATATATATATATATATATATATATATATATATATATATATATAGGTGAATATTATGTATATTAATGTGTCATATGGGCACCTGTTAGAAAAACCCTTAATTTTTTCCGGATGATCATGTAAGCATTTTATCTTTTTCTTTTCTTTTCTTTTCTTACATTACTTGGCTGCTCTTGCACCAACTTTTGAGAGTCCACGGGCGTTGGACTGCGAGTAGACTTTTCATCCTCAACTGCTCCATGCATTCATCGCTTTTTGGAATAAATTAGTATCTTTTAGGTTTTCAGAATCAGAATCTAGAATGGTTTCTATATAATGGTTGAACAGAACAGAAGCTGCACTGGTTGCCGTCCCCTGTTATGCTGTGACCTTCTCAACGCATAATCTGGGGCAGGTTGTATATAGGGATAGCGTATATGGTGCATTGCCTTCTGGAAAGCATCTTCATATGTCTGGCCCCATAATTCGCTACGTAAATCGGCTGCAAGATATTCGCCTAAATAATTCCTGCAATTCGATTGTCCTTCATGATCTAGAAGTTTGTTCCTGAAGTTTTATGCTAGAGCCATTACATGTAAAGGACTGAAAATTCTATCCACATTTAACGTAAGTTTTCTACAAGTGCTGTTGCTGTTAATTTTTCCTTCGGAGTCTATAAAAGTTGGTCAATTCAACTGCCAGCTTGTGAAAGGCTCATGTCCTGTTATATTGTTACCACAACGTTGGAAATGGAATCTATTGGTGTCATTTATGTGAAAGTTGGTCTGGTACAAACAATCCATACAACCCAGTGTATCACTCTGCATATCCTCTTTAGAGTTGTTCTCATTTATATTCTTCTAAGTTGAAAAGTCTCCTGGTCACTTCAACTGCCAACTTGTGAAAGGCTCATGTCCTTTTTATATTGTTACCACAACATTGGCAATGGCATCTAAAGGTGTCATTTATGTGAAGGTTGGTGTAGTAGAAATAATCCTCACAACCCAGTGTGTCACTCTCTGCGTTTCTTCTTCTGAAGTTGCTCTCATTTTCATTTTCTTTCAAGTTGAAAAGTCTTCTGGTTACTTCAACCGCCAGCTTGTTAGAGGCTGGTGTCCTTTTAAATTGTTACAACAACGTTTGTCAATTTTTTTACAGCCTATATTACCTGCTATCCAACACAATGAGGGAGGATGACATACCATGTTGTGAACCAAAGTTTTGGGTGTATCTAACGCTATGTTTGGTCCTTGTCACATTTGCTGGTCTTACATCTGGTCTTAGTCTCGGTCTCTTCTCATATAGTCAAGTTGATCTTGAAGTCCTCATGAAAGCCGGTTTGCCTCATGAGAAGAAAAATGCTGGTGACGCACATTTTCCATGTTCTTCTGAAATATTGCCAAACTTCTAGTTACTGATCGTTTATACCTCTTTCCTTTTTCTCTCTACAGCAAGGATTTTGCCTATCGTTAAGAACGAATATTTGCACTTGTGTACCCTTCTCATTGCAAAATCACTTGCTCTCGAGGTACGTAGGTTTCATTGCGTACAACGTTTTTCACCTCTTTTCATTTTGCTCATTTGTATTCTCTACTAATGTCATTACCTTGTGTCGGAATTAGGCGCTCCCAATTTTCCTGGATCAAATCCTTCCTTTCTGGGCTGCTATTATTGTGTCCGTCACGTTCGTACTAGCCTTCACTGAGGTATAGTATACTTTTCAATGGCAGTCTAGATGTCAAAGTTTGTCATTATTTTGTTTGTTGCACGTGTATCTCTTATTTGTAGGTTATTCCTCAAGCTGTCTGCTCGCGACATGGATTAAGTTTAAGTGCAAAATTTGTTTTCTTCGTCCGGTTCCTCTTGCTGGTTGTATTTCCTGTGTCATACCCAGTCAGCAAGGTAATAGTAAAAGTTTGGGAATGCTTTTCTGAAAGAACTATCTAGTGTTCAAGTTTTCTTGCTTCGTTTAACCGCTCATTTTAATGACATCGGCTTGCTGATATCAGTTACTGAAACTCTTAAAGTGAATGTGAAAAAGCTAGTAATACGGCATATCTCATCGGTTCACGACTCTATACCAGGTCCATCAATAAAGTCACCCAAAAACAAAAAATTTTGCCAGGAAATTTACAGCTTCTTCTACAGTAGCATACTTCTAAAGAAAGAAAATAAATGTAAACTTGAGGTTCTAGGCATGAACTCCATTATTCTATCTAAACTCCCAGTGAACCTACTGTGATAAGGACTCCAATCATGTGTTTTGACTTTAAATTTGGCAGTTGCTGGATTGGCTCCTTGGGAAGGGCCATGCTGCACTCCTAAGGCGAGCACAGCTAAAGACGTTGGTGGATTTGCTGTCAGTGAAGGTGAAACTGTTGTCTGAATATCAATTCTTTGATTGTACCGGAGCATGGCTTTCTTCATTTCTGCTGGAAAATTCTTGAGTTGATTTTGGATAAATGTGTCAATGGTCCTGATAGATTTGCATTACTTTCCAGGCAGGGAAAGGCGGAGAGCTGACTGATGACGAAACTACCATCATTAATGGAGCTTTGGACATGACTGAAAAGACTGCTAAAGATGCAATGACACCCATATCTAAAACTTTTTCCCTTGATATAAATTCGATCCTTGACATGTAGTGAACCTCTCTCAGCTCTTTAGTGTCCTATGAGTCAATGTTCCATTGTGGTATTAAGATCGGTTTTCATTTTTCAGGCATACAATGGGACTAATAATGAGCAAGGGACATAGCCGGATTCCAATTCATTCAGATGATCACAAAAATGTTATCGGCCTTGTTTTGGTAACTAATCTCAAGGTGTAATTGCTCTTGGCTTGATTATTTATTGATTGAGTGCAGCATTTGATGCCTTTCTTGTGATCCTGTATGCATTGCTTTCCTGTGCATCATTGAGTGCTCATTATTATTAGCATCTCTTGCTACTTCTATGGGCTTCTTACAGAAACTACTACCTGTTTATTCTGAACCACCCTGATCGATGAATTTATTAGTATTAGAATTCTATACTTGCTCTTCTTCCATGTTAATGATTAACAAGTCACCAGAGGGTGTCATCCAAATTACATTTAGGCTTTGTGGTTTTAGCGTCATTTTCCTCTTTTTAGGTGAAAAACCTGATATTCTGCAATCCTGAAGATAAAGTTCCACTGAGAAGTATAAATTTAAGGAGAATTCCCAGGTACGACTATTTTTTGGTGAACAAAATCTTGACGCAATGGTTTGGGAGTGGCTCTTTTAGAGGCTACTTATTAGCTTTTCCAGTGTCTTGGGATCTTCTAATTATGATATTTTTCTTTGATACGTTCTTAGCAAAGTCATATATGCTCAATGTCAGGGTTTATGACGATTGGCCTTTGTATGATGTGCTGAAATTATTTCAAAAGGGTCACAGCCACATGGCTGTTGTTGTCAAGTCTCAGAGAGATGGAAAAGAAACAGAAGAACAGACCAAAGAGTCGCCTAAGTTTATGAGAATGCAAATAGATTCAAACTCGGAACCTGCGGCAACAGATGTTAAAGGTACAAAATAGAAGCGGCTTGGCATAGCTTGACTGTCATCTACTTTGGTTTGCTTGCACAAAATTTACTCTTGTGTACACTCTTCTTGAAGAACTAATTCTGACGCATCATGTTGCATTCCTGAAAATGTGTCACAAGTCTTCTCCTAGTCTCAACATGCGATAGCATGAAACTTTTGTCCGTAATATTGTGCACATTTAAAGTCTTTTATTTCCTGGCCAGAGTTGTGTAGTAAATCCTGTAATTGGCATCCAGCCATTGAAATATTTTCATGCCTTGAAATGTTTATAAATCTACAATTGCCTTTCTAAAACCCTGATTAGAAACAGCAGAATACATGGTAGTACTTGTTGTCAACATAAAGAGGAAGGTTCTAGACTAATTTGCTTAAAACTCTTTGGTTAAGGTTGAAATCCCCATCGTGGGTTTTGTTCATGTCTCCTGACCAGACTCAGAACAATGCATTAATCCGACTTTGTCTTTCTTTATTTCTCAGGAACTAATCATTTATTTGGTCAAGTGGACCTCTCCATTACCTCGGCATATTGTAGTGATAATGAGGCTGGAATTCTTGTTGTTGAGAATACAAGGAAACAAGAGGATGTGTTTCAGGCATCTAATAAATGGGAGGAAGATAGTTTGGAAACTCTCAAAACTAAATATCTAGATGAGGAAGTAATTGGCATTATAACTATGGGGGATGTGATGGAGGAACTCCTCCAGGTAACTATTTCAATTCAAATTTTATATTTTCTCCTCATTTCCTCTATAATTTTCCTTGCATTTCCATCATAAATGTGATTCCAGATGCCGCTAATGAGTGTACAACTGCTTTCTATATGAAGCTAGCATGTCTCATTTTGATACAACTGTTAGTGAACAACGGTGGAATGGAAGAAATGTTTCAAGATCTTCCTTCAACTGATATGTTTTGCTGAATAAGTGGAACTTACCAATATCATATGTATAATGTCATAGAGTACCACTTACTGTATGGATTTCAACAAAATTGATGAACAGATCAGGTTCTTTTCCAGCTTCGGTCTCACCTATGCATATGACAGCAGAGATCAAGTTCCGTTGATTCTTGTCTACAGAACAACTGTGTGTTTGACCCTTTTTTAAGATTGGCTATGTTTCATTGCTTATTGGAAGAAAAGCTTATCTCCATCAGCTTATGGAAATATGCCATAACTGCCGCACAAAAATACCTTCTTTATATCTTGTGCATCAGAAAACGATTTTTGCTTTTCCTTCTGAAATTCTTATATATAGTTTAATCACATTTTGGTGCGCACTTTTTGATTCAACGTGAATGATTAAACTAATCAGCAATTTTTGAGGTTGCTAGGAGATTTGAAGTTTTTTTTTATCAGGAAATACATAGTAGCAGTGTCATTTTGTATCTCAGCTCATTAACTTGTACCCTGAGAATCTGAAATTTGGACTCCGAAGGATCATTGCTGTCACAAGTGACATATCTTTAACTTTGCTGTTTTCCAGGAAGAAATTTTGGACGAAACTGATTTGAATGTCCATAACAAGTAAGTGATTCTAATTTTGATTGCTCTTGAAGTTTTGTCATCTGTTTTACAATTACACAGACGGATGATTTGAGGTTTATCTGCGGAACCAGAATGAGTTCTCTACCTTGGAAGAGAGCACCTTCGTCTCCTACAACAGCTTCAGTCACTCGAATTCAATGGAGAACTCCAGCTTCATCTCCTTTTTCTTCATATTATAACACTCCCGTGCTGCGCTCACCAGTCTTACCATATGTTCCATCTCCAGTTGTAAGACCTGTACTATATGCTTCTCCGGGAAGATCGATTTCGGGTTCTCCTTCACAATCAGGTTCTTTGTTCCCCGTTCGCAGCTCACCATCTTCCCAGCAGGTATGTCAAATTCAAAAGCTTACCTTTATTTCCTGAGTAGAAAAAGATTTTACCCTGCAACATCAATATTATAAATCCATAATCTCCTCTTCATCCTTCCCGTTGTCTCCATCCTCCCTCTTGAGCTCTCTCGTTTTTGTAACCAATATTGAGGAAATTAGGATGGCTTTTTTTCCCCGCCTTCTCTTTCTCTAAAAAAATGGAGGAATTTTTGAAAATTCTGCTGTTACAGGCTTATTCATGTCTTAACAGGTGTCAAGAAACTCATACGAGAGGTTAAGGCCTGCAGGGAATTTTTCATAAACCCTCCAGGTCTCTGCGGGCACATCAGTTACTATTAGTTATTACCAGCCTACGGCCTACTAATTCTGGGGAAAGATATTGCTACGGCTGATCTAAATCTTGGTTCAGATATTATAATTCTGAAGGACGAAGCATGTTTCAAGATTAAGCCAAAATTGGAATCCAATTGGACCATGCAGTTATAAGTTATTTATGTCCATAGACCCTAATTTTGCTGCTTGCGAGTTGAAGGCAGGAGATCAAAAGAGACCTAAAATTTTACTATCTTCGTGTATTTCTGTTTAGACTAATTAGGGATGGTCCATGAGCTAATGCCGACAAAATTTGACAAAAATATCTTCCCATTACAGATACTAATAACCTCAAACGAAAGCGTGAAATGACTGACTGCATATGAAACTGAAAAGAATATTTAAGGCAACAAACGCTACCGACAAGCCGACTAGGACAAAAGCATTGCCTCTCATTCATTTGGACAAAAAATATCTTCCTTCCTATAACAGATACTAATGACCTCAAGCGAAAATCCAACCCCCCCCCCCCCCCTTCTCCCCAAAAAAAAAAAAAAAAAAATGCCTTTCATCAATTTGGATAAGTAAGTTTCTCGACAAAAAGGAGAAGATAAAAGAGAGTGGATGAGAAACATCGACCAGCAAGCTGGGAAGTCATGAATAAAATTCTCATTGGTGCTGAACCGCTGCCTCTCCACTGTCGAAGAACAGCATTATGGAATCAAAGAAACCCAATCCTCCACAGCAAAACTGTGAACCACGCAACTTTTCAGCTAAAAAGTTGGAGGCTACATGCAGAAGCAAAGGGCTTCAACAGGGCACCAGCTAATATGCTGCAGCAAAAAGATAGAGAGAATGCTGCAGCAAAAAGCCATAGAGGAAAAAATGGCAAGGATGATGATGATGATGACAAGATACCGGAGGTTGTGTGGGAGAGGATAATGTTCAGAATCTTGTTTTATGTTGGTGTTCCTTTGGTCACCGGGGTTGCCTTGCTGCAAGTTTTCAGCATAATGAAGGAGCAGAACTTTTGGGATGTGCCGATTTGGTTACCTTTCTTGACGACATTCCTCACCTTTGGCGCTTCGGCACTGGGGATAGCTTACGGGACTCTGTCCACGAGTTGGGATGCACAGAGAGAGGGCTCGTTTCTTGGTTTCGAAGAAGCTCAGAAGAATTGGGTGGAAATATGGAAAGAAGAAGAAGAAGAGGAGTGATCGGCATGAAAGGATTGCACATCACTCTTATCGCTATAAATCAATCCAGTATTACTGATTGGTGTATTCTTCGTCAATGAATGTTATAAGAACATAAAATCGTTTCATGTGAGTAAACAGATTGGATTATCCATATATGTGGCAAAAAGAACTGATCCTTGGTCCTACTATTTCTTTTAGCAATATAAAATCATATCCATTTAACATGAGCCCGCAAAATCAGGATTGTGTAGAATTTACGAGTGGAAATTACCCCAGTAAATTGCAGCCATGAGTGTTCCATTAACAAATCAAGCACCATTGAAAATTGAAATGCAGATTAAATGTGTTCCCCTAACCTAGCAGACAGACGAAGAACAGGGTGGCGAGTCACGGAAACCTGTTAACTGGGCCTCCGATTTTTCACCTGCTGGCTGGGCCTTTTCCATCTTTGCCATGGACTGGGCGAGTTTGCCTTAAGCACAAGTTGCGTATCACTCCTCTAATTTCACAGTTTGACACATTGTGAGCGTCAATTTTAAGGAAGTTAGTCTGGACCTTACTTGACCGGGTCCAAAAACAACTTTTTACCTTTTTTTTTTTTTGGTTTGAAAGGCCAATCCAAAATAACTGATATGGGTACTTACCATGTCACATGATTTATGGATGAGCGTACAACTCTACGCCTACCTCAGGCAAAACTTGGTTCAGACTTAGCACTATAGGAGATAAAAATTATTTGAATAGCAGATTATTTTTAAAAAAAAACTAATCATTTTATAATATTTTTTATGATGTAATGTACTTAAAGTAATAAGGTAATTAAAAATTATATTTTTTATGCAAGCAAAATACTATTTACAATTGTGACGACCAACTGGTTTTCAGCTCTTGATAAGCATGGAAGAGTTGGCGTGGAAGCCTAATCAGAGGCTTTAGGATTGTCACGTCGTGGATTTGGTCGACATCTGTTTTTTTTTTTTTTTTGAAGAACATTTGGAGGCTTTCATTCACGATGAATCTATGGTTACAGCATCACTGATAGTCTGGATAAGGGGCAGGGACGGTCCTCAGAATGTCCATTCTGCACAGTTTATGGCCAGGATTTGATCATAAAAAATTATATGGTCCAAAATCCAAATCACGTTTTATATTTCAATTTTTATAATATGTGTAAGGCCCATAAAATTTTATTCTTAAGTTACATGTTGTGCAAACAAAGTGTATCGTATGCGAATAAAATTACGTAATGTATAAAATGCACAAAATCGCCATGTACCGTTCCTGTCCGTGGTCCCTGGTAGTCTTGGGAAAGTCCATAAACCAAACTCTACCCCCTCAAATGATAAAGACATTTTTGACATAATAATAATGTAATGTGGGCAGGAACATTATTAGCCGTACTCACGTGACTAATTCTGACGTATTCAAAACTAGCTAACATTCAAGGATAGATTGATTCAGATATTTTTTGTGCGTAAATAGAGTCCAAAGCCTGTGGCGCTTGGGAAACTGTTACCCTTTGGGCAGCCATTCAAGTCATTAAGATTTGGGTCAAAAGGCGTTTTAGATTTGAGACCAATTAATAAAGGGGGCAATTATTTCTCAAGTTGAGAGAATTCGTATGAATGAATACTAGATGCATTAAGGGATAATTTCAGATACCTCCCCTGAAGTTTCTGACAGTCTCACTCTCCTCTCTTGTAATTTCAAAAATATCACAAACCTCCCCTGTTAGAATTTAGGTCTCATTTCTTACATCATTATGGCCAAAAAGACTTAAATACCCTCACAAGTCAGCTAATATTTCGTGATTATCAGGACAAATACATTCCAACTCACGTAATTGCTTTTTTCTACGTTATATCTAATCTTCCTTTTACATGTATACATAGTCAAATAACTAATACTTAACATGATGTACATTTTTTTAACACCTAACCATTCCAAATTTTTGCGTACCGTTACACTACCTTTTATAGATATACACAGTCAAGTAACTAACATCTAATATAATGTATATATTTGTAAATTGATTGTACCTCATAAATCACCCCGTGTAAGGTGTTTATAGACAAATTAGTATTAGTCATATAGATAAAATTACATACCCACTGCAGCTTGTAAGGAGATGCACAAGTGGGTCAAAGCACCAATAACCATTCCAAATGTATACATACTATTGCACTATGCATATTGTTGCGATGACTAATTGCAATATGCATGTGAACAAATAACTGCATGTTCAACAATTTCTATGCATAGTACTTGGTCGATAACACAGTGTACATTATTTCAAACAGATTGTACATTCACTAAGTATTTATATACATGCTACTTATTGAATTAAACTGCATTTCTACTAAATATTTAATGTACTCTCATAAGTACTAATGGTCGATTTAATATGCAATTGGAACAAATAACCATCTAGTAAAAACTTTTGGTATAATATTATTGATGAATAACATATTGCATCTGAAATTATCCCTTTTTTCTAATTTATTTTTTGTTTTTATTAGTTTTTATTATTTCACTAATATAACTTGTACACTTACCTCAGGGGCATTTATGGAAACAAAATTCCCTCTCTTTTCTAAGAACACTTTTTTATGTTCACTTTTGACATCATAGGCTGATTTTGTTACAAAATCCTAAACCTCAGGGGAGATTTGTGATATTTTGAAACCACAGGAGATGAGAGTGAGACTGTCAGAAACCTCAGGGGAGGTTTCTGAAATTATCCCATGCATTCATTCAAGGGATAATATCAGAAGCCTCTTTTAAGGTTCTCGTAATATCATTTGGTACTCTTGAAATTTTAAAAATAACACTTACCTGCTCTAGTAAATATAAAAAGACTATATTAACTCTCACTTGACACGTAATTTATAACATATCAAATAAATGGAGTTCAAAAATAAAAAAAAATGAAAGTAACTTTCTTCTTTTTTCTTTTCTCCATCATTCTTTTCTACTCATATCTTTTGGATGATTATGTGATATTTTATTTGTAAATTATAATAAATTAATTTTTGTTTATTTTTTATTTGTGTGATTGTGATAAAGTGGAGTATGATTTATTTATTTATTTTGAGTTGATTTTATAATGATTGGTATAGTTTAATGGTTTGATCAAGGGCTGAGAAGTTGTTAGAAAAAAATATAAATTCATAAGAAAATGACTTTGAGCATATAAAATTAAATTGATGTAAGTGTATTTATTTTCAAATATTTTTTTATTTTTCAAATTTATATTTTTATGGGGTATATCATTGTGATGTGGTAGTACTGCAAAAAATTATTTTTAAGGTGATGATTTTCTTGAAATGAACAAAGTGGTTTAGAAATATTTTTATTAAACAAGTGAAAGGGTAGTTTAGAATTTTTAAAAATTTTGTTACACAAATAACAAAAAGAAGAGATGGAAGTAATATTTTAAAAATTTTAGGAGCGTCAAGTGACATTAAGAGACACCTCAGGGAGGTTTCTGATATTATCCCTTAATTCAAATTCAAAGACAAGTACTCGCGGACAGTAATAGAGAATCTTTCCGTCAGCATTATTGTCAAAAATCAAACGGAAGAATGAAGTCAAAAAAATTATATTAAAGGAAAGTGATCATCAAACATTGAAAAAGATGTTGCGTCATCGTCCCACAATTCCTCTCGTCAAAATGATGGGACTGGGCGTTTCAGAAAAAAAGCATGCTACTAGCACTAGTTGATGGAAATATCAAAGAAGGGGAAAAGGAGTGGTAGGGTACCTGATGGTCAGACGGACCGGAAATGTTGCCGAGAAGAAAAATGATACTCCGCCAAAGCAATGCTGGGCCTGCATATTTTGATATTTGGACCAAATTATACTCCATGTCCTTTTCAAGTTTTATCTTTTCAATTTGTTCACTTGCTTCTAATAGTTTCGTATGGGGTTTGACGATTGCGTGGGTTATTCGTACATGATAATGATGATATTACCGCCCAGCCAGCAAGCAGGAATCGTTTCCCATTTTTTAATACAGCGCCATTCGAGACAGATGGACGATAGTGATAAAAATTAGGCTTCCTTTGGATTTGACGAATTGGAGGGAGGGAGATGCGAGCAAACAAATGACTAGTAGAAGGGGTATGGTTTTTTTTTTTGTCATTTGCACTGCTATTAAAATTGATTTTCTAGGAGAGGATTGAAAGGTTAGAGGCTGAATGTCCTCCTGCTCTTTTACCTATCTTTTAAGTTTACTGCCTAATTCACGTACAACTTTTTC